GTGGACGTGTCAGCATTGTATTGGATGGTGAGAGGTTTAAACGTTCACACTGGCACCTTTGGACCAGTATGGCTGCGACTGACAATCTGTGCACTGAGTGGTGTTCCCACGGGTATCCATCTATCTAACTTCTAATTGAATAGTGCCATTGCCATCGTTAGCAGATCCGTTCGCAGTACATCTCGGAGCCCTAGTTTGGGCCTTACACAGCACTAAATGGTTACCCAGGCAAACGTCTGTGTCCCATGCTTGCACGTACATCACCATTGATAGCTCTTCAGTGACTCATATAATCCCATTGTGATGCTAAGGTTGTATACCTCAGCCAATAGTGATTTTCCCGTGCTTCATGGCATAGTGCTCTATAATTGTATGCAGCAGAGCTAGGCATCCAGAAACAAAGCTAATGGTACGTTCCACTGGGATTTATCTATTTCAGTAGTGACACGATTCCTATTGTTCTATTACCCAACTGTACTAGCCCAATGTTGATTTGACCCTATATCGACAATACTGTGATAACTCAAGTCTCTTGTGTGGTGCCGCTCTTCAGTCTATCGTCAGTCTTTGCCCATTGGGTGAACTACCCATTGTTTCAAATGCACAATTCCCTTGAGCATACAGCCTATCACATGGTGATATGACCAGGATTCAGGACACTAACTTCGCATGAACGCTCTTTGTGTTCCTATCTGCTGACTGTGTCACGGCCTTCGGACCCCTAGCTGTCCAGATGCGGCCGCCATGGCCATCCCAGACATGAGCACAATGCCTCTAAGCGTCTTACAAAGGGAACAGGATCATTCAAGAGAATACAATTCGTCGTTCAGCGTCTCCAGTCACCTTGTCTGATGTCTCCGATCGACGCCCTACCGTTCAGCTAGGGACTATCCAAGCCATCATTCATCCGTACGCCTATCAACGAGGCTTTGTAATTACTTTTTAGCCCTACACAGGTCCGACACTGCCATGTACTGGTGAAGCAACCTTCTAGGATAGGACAATGACAAATTGCCAACAGTCGACCACAGCATTGTGTAGATGTTAGAGCAGAGACTACAGATAGCATCATATATAGGAGAGCCGTCTGAGTGTGATGAAGATTGACCAAGCATCGCGCTAACCGCTCCTTTGGGGATTTCAGCAACGTCAATGCCAATTTGGTGTGGAAATAATGAGCCATTGTAAGAATGCGTTAAGTGCAATTGCATGTTCTGTATAGAGATGTATTCGTTAATTTAACTCATTCAAGCCATTCATAAACAATATCACTCACCGCTTATGGAGGGGGTAAGCCTCAGCCTTTCTTTACTATTTCGCAGTAGTCATTGGGCAACGACCGTATCTATAAACTTGGCAGTTTCCGAGAGCTCTCTCCCACACACTCTCAACTGATAGCAGCCAGACAATAGAGACAACGCACAGTCTTGAAACCTTGCAGACATGGTTGCCGCCGTTACGCCCTCAAGCCCAGCGTTGTTGCACAGCACACGCGGGATGCTGCCTGGTCAGGAACAGCATTCTTTCCAAGATTACCTTTCTACTCTACTGTGCAAGGTGAGCCAAGCATTGACCCATTTCTAGTAGGAACTAAAAGGATTCGATGTGAATGGCATTTCTCCTCACAAAACTGTACATCCACAAGCTACCCTATCAAAGTTGACCAAGAACGCTGCTGAGACAAAGGTGTTTGGCAGCGCTCACGAATCCAGCTGGTTTCGTCCATACCTCCGTGCGGATTTCACTTGTATTCTGTGATATGTATAAGATGAAAACGCCAGATGACCCGCGATAGCGTCTTATCTGAGAAAGATGGAATTTCAAGGCATTCTCACGATTCCACTTAGGCGTTTTCTACGATGTCCGTAGCGGCCTTGAAAACGTAGGAGGTGCCACTGGGAGGGCACTAGTGAGACGTGGGTCCAGCACGTGCCGTCTGGAGCCTACTGGTATCAATCTGCTGTGCGGTGTTCGTCATGAGCCTAGTTCATGAGATGACATCAGCACCTTTCTAGCATCTAACGCCCTGTTCTAGCACACCTGTTAGCCTAGTACACGTGTGCAGATAGCTGGTTCCTGACTAAGGGATTGCGGAGAAATTCGAAACGGGATTTTTTCGTTTTGCTCCATTCGGACGACCGAAAGAACCTTTTCAATCGCTGTGTCTTCCATTTCGTTTCGTTGCATTAGACCTTAAACATGTTGAAATCCTGTAAAAGACATTGGGACATTCTCCTCATTCTTAGTCGCTGACACACATAAGTAGTATGATGTTTTCATGGCTTATGGCCGGATCAAAGATGGAAAAGTGGCAGATGAAGTCCGGAGGGTTTTCCTCCTCCCTCTGTATATACCAGGACACATACCAGTATGGTGTGTCCGAAGGGTATAAGACAAACGACCAGGACTGAAGGTACGCCAATCCATCCCTCAACCTCTTACAACTCATTATTACACTGTATAATTCACTGGAAACATGAAATATTACCAACTCACTCTTGGTCCAGATGTAGACGCAGTTTACAGCACGCTCTGGCAAATAGTCAATAAGTGTCTGGATACCAACCTTGTAAGCTGCACTCTCCCTTTTGGAGCGCAGGTGCAGCCTGTCCTGGTGCTGAACAACGAAAGCACTAAACGAGTGGACTGGGATCAATTGCAGTTGGATGCAAAGATCGAAAACTCTCCTAGTGAGTCTTGCTGCGATCTCTTGAACATATCTGTTATGTACTTCGCATGCTAGACGTTCATCAGCGTTCAAGCGTATCGTATTAGGCGTTCTAGACCCACGTGACTAAACTGTATTACCCCGCATATTCTCACAATCTACAGCTGATATTACTTACAATCCTCCTTTGCCGTTTGGTGTCCTCCCATTGCAGCCGGGAAACTATTTGTCGTTATTCTAAATGACAAAAGTCACTCGAGCATCGTGTCAGAAACCGCAGCGTTGGACAACAGGTTTCGTCAATTCATCGACAAGAACCAAATAGTGGTGATCGGCATAGAAGGGGCGTCCTCATCGAATGTAGGTAAGAAGCAGAAAGCACACGTGCAGAAGAAGCTAGCCTGAAACAGCTCTCTACGGTGAAGTGCAGTTCGACGTACTTGCGAGTCCCATACCATACATTCTGCGGACAAACTCTCCATCTTAATGCCCCGCTGAATACTTGCACAGTATTATCTACCTTGTGCCTATAGTAAGCTCTTGATCTTGATGTGTATTTGCTTGCTGCAAGCCATTCATCAAGAATACAGCCATGTATACAACCAGCCTAATATTCTAGGGTATAATAAGTAATATTGTAGATGCTGAGTTCTTATTCCATGACAATTTCGAAGAAGTATTCGTATTTCTTGTACTACATTCTGTACCGTGGGAAGCAGAGCTTCCCTGTCCTCGAATTATGTGATAAACGGTATCATATGCCTATACGAAATCCCGCATCTTTCATGATATTCGATATTCTACTGATACTTCGTGCCAACCAGAACTGGTCCGTTTGCTTGTGTGATGGCGTGTTGTGCACTTGATTGGAGTGTATATTACCATGATCACTCTGATAATTGATGAGTGGAACCGTGTACTACCATACATGCTGAGAAGGATCATTTGGCATGGCATGCAGTGTTGCAGTGCATGTATAGGTTATGGGTTATAGCACTAGCAGGGCATTCTCATAGACAGTCGTGATTTGCTTGATGCAGCCTGAGAGGCCGCTGGGAGGGTATGATTGAGATCCGGGTCCGACACGTGATGTCTGGGACGTGTCGCCATCGATCTGCTGTGCTGTGTTGATCATGAACTCTGTTAGCGCGATGCCATCAACAGCTTTCTAATCAACATAACGTACATGTAGTTGTACAGTTCCTATTTGAGATCCGAAGGCCAGAGGAGGAACGCAAATGAGACCTAAGACATCTGAAAGTCCCGAACATCTATTCTTAGTTTTCCACTCTTTCGGAGGATGGAAAACCGTTTAGGCTGTAATATCCACCAATGCCGCTCCTTGAATTCAAATTATGGTGTCATGAGCATGCAGTGTTCCTGCAACGGAAAGTGGGATTTCTCCCCTCATCCGTAGCGTAGGTTAGAACAAAAATGGAGGTTTTCGTCCACTTCCAGCTATGGCAGGGATCGGCAAGCAGCGGTTGAATCATGGAAGATCTCTCCTCCGGCTCCTAACGGTCAGCGGTACGCCCGGATATTTATGGCGTGTCTAAAGGGTATAAGACAAGGTTCAGGACTAAAGGTAAGCCATACCATTGTCCCAACTTCTTGAACCGTACCCACTCACCCTCCAATCTGCTGAAACCATGAACTGGTACGACCTCACCCTCGGTCCAGGTGTTGACGAATGCAGCAGGAGCAGATTGTGGGAATTAGTCCAAATATCTCTTGGTATTACTTTAGACTTTTCTTCATCCGGCGGTGTGCCCCCTGGGTCAAAGATTCAGCCAATTTGGTTGTCAACTATGACTCCCCGGATAGGATCGTTTGGGACCTTCTGGGCTTGGACGAGAAAATAAGAAACTCTCCGAGTGAGTATGGCTTTGACCTGATGAGAGTATTCCTTGTGCAGTCGTTTTGGGTTTGACACTCACATAGCCTTTTCAAGAACGCTCACCAAACACCCGCTTGTGTGTTCAAACTCGTGCTGATAATAATAATAATTTCCTATCTTAATTGACGTCTTCCACTTGCAGCCGGCAAACTGTTCGTCATTATCCTAAATGACAACAGCCATTCGGGTACGGTATCAGCCGACGCTGCTAAGGATCCTAGGCTGCGTCAGTTCATCCAAAAGGACCAAATAGTGGTCATAGGCATACCAAGGGTGACGGCATCCAATGTTTCGACGACGCAGCAAAGACATGTGCAGAAGAAGCTCAAGTAACTCATCTCTGTGCAGTTCTCCGCCCTTGGAAGGCCTATGAGGTACTTCGAAGTACCATACTGTCTCGGAACTAACAGTCATGTCTTCGGAATATCCCGCTGATTGTGCACACTCCGCAGAACAGTATCCTCTTCTGTGTGTGCATGGTGGTCTCATGAGTTGTATTCGCTCACTGCAATCTATCGCAACCCTGCTATTAAGAGTATAATGTACATAAGCGGCCTGATACTCTACCTTGTTCTCATTGTACGAGTAAGTGCCGTCTTGTTGCATGATAACGTTGACCAATTCCTAGTATTTCGTAGCGGAAAAGAGAATTCTACCTTCTTGAATACGTTGGCATTTTAAATCATCCACCAAGATGGCAGCCCGCATCTTTCGTGATACTGTAGTCGGTATTATACGCTTATTCACATATATTCTACCAGAACTGGCCCATTGTGCTTGTGTGACGGCGTAGTGTGCGTTTGGAGTGGCCAGTATCATGATTACGCTGCATGGCATTTAGCATGTTTACTCGTGGAACAGGTCAGCTCAGCGTACAATGTGCTGTCGTGCATGCTAAGAATGATCGAGTCGACGACCTTAGGATCTGTTGGGAATGCCCAACTAAGATAATTGAATACAATACCAGTGTTATGGAGCAGGACCAGCACAAAACACTAATGGAACTGTGGAGAATGTCATAGCTTCTTCCCTTGTGACGGCCTGTAAGTTCAAAGCAAGCGGGGAGCAGCTAGATGTATGAGGAGCTGATGATCCGATCTATTTTAATAGAAGTACCATAATTATCGGTTTGCCATATCGTTTTCCCACAAGGTGTAAATGGGAATCGCAGAAATATGTCCAACAATATCACACCATCAGTGTTTTTGATAGTTAGCCATCACAAGCTACAATGTAGACAGCTCAATGATTAATGCTCTCTCCTCGGACATTCACAAAGGCTACTGCATGGTATAAGTGTGGAAGGAATTATTTGCATAACTAAGAAAATTGAATGAGAGAAAATCCAGGATTTGGTGCAATGGAAAATCATAACGCACCTAAGCCAGAGCAACGGTACTACTATGGTATGAAGTGCTACATCACACATATACCCCTACAGTACAATAGAGTACCCTTCCAGTGCACGGGCAACATACAGCATGCTGTGTGCAGGTTATGCATGACCGGTGCTTCAAAATGCATTGCTCCCGTACACTGGCAGCAGTCCCAATGGGGATTGCGCGATACATGTGTTGAGGCCGAGATAATGCAGCCGATCAGCACGGCGAAGCTTGAATGCATCACTGCCAGGTGTGTGGCTGCAGTCGGCACGCGGCATGTCCAGGGTTGTCAATAGTCTTGCACGTTCCACAGGCCCGATAGCAGATAGATATCACCAGCGGTTGCACACACATAACATTTACGTGTTCGGGGCGGCTATCGGAGCCGCGAGGGAAGCCCCGGCAGAGGCCACATCACGTGGACAAGTTTGCGAGCGATGCGGGAGTCTGCAAAGTGTGGTCATTCAGGGTACGATGACGATCGTCCCTGATGCGGAAAACTGCTGAGAGTAGTGGATTCCTGTTCAAACAGAACACCAAAACAAAGATCACGGACTTCAAAACATTACGTTTGCCCAAAGAAAGGGTACAGAGACGGCATCGAAACTCTTGCGGTTGTTCTTTCTCGGGGGTAGAAACATACAATTGGGTTCATCGAAACCGATGCGGTTGCAGGTGGCTCCATTGTGTATGTCTCTAATTGCTATTGGGTATTTACATGTGACATGGTGCCAAGCCTGGCTCTGTTGGGAATGCAACTCAGGCATTGCAGCAGATGGTATGATTCTACTATCATGACTGCTTGCGCGGGCTTCTGAGGTCAATTCAAACTCAAGTCTGAGTGCATGCACCAGACAAGCCTTCATGCGTAGCATTGATTGTAGTCACTATACCGTGGTCTGTGCGCACTGGTGCTAATTGCCTTACTCTAGATGCCTCGGTAGTAGGGTAACTGCTCTGTGTGGCATCTTCACTTGACTGGGGCCCGGGCAGTTTAATTACTTCCAGAGTTTCTGCTGTGTGCAGCATATACCCTTGACATGAACGCTGTCAGGACTCTAGTCCAGGCTGAGCTATCACTGGTGGATGACGGGCAACACCATAGGTAGCAACCTGTGTGGGATTCTATAAATGTGCTCAGGCACAGAGATAAGGCTTGTAGCTACCTGGGCACAGCACTTCAATTACTAAAGCTGGAACATACTTGACTATGGGAAGGGGGGGGGGGGGGCTGAGAGGGGAGGACATTGTGCTATAGCTGAATGCTCAGTGATGCATGCACAGCATACACAGAGCAGATTGATTTCAATTATGATTTAGACTGTGACAACCCTAACTTCAGTGCTTACTTGCTGTGATGATGCAGTGTGCTAGTCGATGCGAAGGCAGTGTGCAGTGTGGAAGTCGATGCGGAGGCAGTGTGCAGTGTGCTAGTCGATGCGGAGGCAGTGTGCAGTGTGCTAGCCGGTGCGGAGGCGTCCAAGCTCTGTACTGTCTGCGTCTTGTTCGTTGAGGCTAGTACAAGAACAAAACAAGAGATGTAACAAGTTAGAAAGATATCGATTCCCCCTGAATGGCCAGGAAATTCCATTGCCAGCGGCGTGAGGCAGTGGACAGCTCCACCTGGAGGGGAAATTCACCCAGCTAGGGTGGCGCTAGTATGTGAAACCGCATTGCCGCATTGCCGCGTCAAGTATTCTGGTGTTTATCAATGTGAGCAAAGTCATTCGTACCGCCCCATCTAGGCTGGGCGAATCTAGATACTTGACGTCAAACGTGCAATTCGTGTTGGATCTGCTGACTCGAAGTTCACGGCCGCATGTGGGAATCATGGTTCGGATCAGCCGTCAGTCCTGCGAGGTGCGCATCATCGATCAGATATGCAGACTGGACACGAGACACCGGCATGGTAAGACAATGGTATCAGTATGCCTGCCACCTCGGGCACAAGCTGAACTGTATGCTGCGTAGCTTTCAAATAAGCCTTTCAACTAAAACTCTTCCAACTTAATCTAGAAATGGCAAGTTACGTGGAGGTTAGCCACAGCGCTGCTGTTGCAAAGTCAGAGGCCATGGAACATGCCCGCAGTTTTAGTAGGGACAATCCCCACCTGCGTACAGCACTTCCCGTTTACCATGAGAGCGATAGAAGACTGCGGCCGGCCGGAAGGCCAGAGAAATTACACGTTACCAGTATGAGCACTTCAAGAAGCGACAGGGAGGTTGCCCAACTTGACCGCCGTGCTGCTCAGTCTTACAGTAAGTATACTATACCTATTGGTATACATGACTCGCTTTAGGACACATGCTCAGAGTATGTTTCTTTCCCACTCTGATCTTGCGTCGCAGGTGGCCGGGTTCAAACGTTCATCACTGACAGCGGAACGCCAAGAGTCCATGACACGACCTGGAAGGCAAGACACGATAGGAATTTAGCTGGCATTGTGCACCAACCAGACATCCACGCCTACTCAGTGGGACCCCACGGGCCTTGCGATTATCAGCTCAAACATTTTGCCAAGGAAGCAGGCCACCATGGTCATAGCCAGAAGAAGAGGCATTAGATGCATTTACCTGCACTTGCCCTGGCAACAGTACCCCATCCAATGTTGACAAGTACACCTTCAATATGAGCAATAATCTCCAATTAAGTTTGGCTGACATCCTATCACTCATTCTCTTGCTGCCTTGTCATGTCACTATCCATGAATGTTCATATCTCCTCCGGTGGCGTTATTCACAGCTCCAGTCACCAGTCGTTTCTGATTTTGCAGACATTTCAATGCATTCTACTCCAGTTTTGCTTGGTGCTCACTGTTGCGGAAATTGCCTCTCGTTTCGTCTACGTTTTTCGACATTAATGTACTTTCGTACTGAAATGGACTTTTGAGTTAAAATTCACCAGCACTCCTGTGTATTTATGTAGCTTTTTCCTGCCATCATACTTCTATACACTTATTGCAAAGATGAATTCATTCAAGACGAGGTGTTTGCTGATACATTGAGTCTCGAAGTTGGATGATGCTACCGGATGTGTGGCTATTTGCTTTCCAGTGTGTGAGCAATGATAGCGTATCTGAGCTAAGAATGCTCAGGAGTTGTAAAAATATGTGCAGATGATGTGCTCAAGACCTGCATGCTACTTGAAGTTCAGCAATAGGGAATTATATCAATCACTTCTTGGCTCGCTACCTGAGAGCAATGATCTTTAGGGTTGAAGTAGCACAGCACCCTTGCCCGTACCACGTCGTTCAATTCTCACCAGGGGTGGCGGAAGGTATTTTAGTGTGGTACGGTCAGCAATCTGGAGTACAATTTACTCGTGGGGGAGTGGTGGCGGAGCCGAAATGTTTTGGAAATTTAGATCACAGATCAGTGTATTTTATTGATTCACGGGGTACCTGGGGCAAAAAGTGGTACGGTCAATACCGCAGTGACCGTACCGTGTCCGACGCCCCTGATGCATGCTCACAGACTTCGATGCAACGATAGGTTGGTACTTCTGAACAGATATATGGAATATGTATGTCTGTCTGAGGGAGAGAAATGAGAGAGGGGAGGGGGGGGGAGGCATTCAAAGACAGGCGTCACTGATCTAATACCTGAGAAGTGCCAAGTGGACAGATTGGCTATAGTAGTAGGCTGGTGTACTGTAGTCTGTAACCCCCCCCCCCTCCCCCTCCCCCTCCCCCCCCCACACACATAAACTGTGGATAACACACACATTCGGATGATGTCATCGATTTCAATGCCGCCATCTCTGTACTCGCACTTACCAGCATGCGACCTGGGGGCATGGATGCGTTACTTCCAGTCCTCTGTCATGTACTGAACGGGAAAAGCACAGAGATGGGAATTTTCAATTTGTCCCCTGCGTGACCAGGAAATTCCACCGTCCCTGGACACACACGAAGGAGAAAGCAATACGAATGGGCAAGCAGCTCACAGATCTGAATGAACCACACTACTCCTCCGTCTCAGCTTAGGCTACAGGGGTTCATAGTTTTGACTGTGAGCGGTGGTATAGTCCGTGTCGTAGGATTCAGACAGCAGAAAGTTCTGGGAGATTCTGATTTTCGATCCGATATATGTATGTGGGGTGGAGACGAGACATCTACGTGGACAGACAATGGCCTTATCACGTTAACCTTCGGAGACACCATCTGCCAGAACACCATGCCGCTACGGTGGCTGCACAGCAAGCCATCATAGCATGACACTTTGCTGTAGTTGTCCTTATGCTACGACAACTGACGCTGTCTAGTGCAGGACAATGACGTAACACAACTCTCTGTTTGATAGTTTGAAATACGCGCCCTTTAGGGAAAGCGAGTATATCGCTGCTCCATATTATTGTGCATGCTAGAATGTATGCAGGTTAGACTCTTGTAAGAATAACAATAACTCTCTACGATCGAGTCATATCTTTGTTTCTAGTACGGTATGTCTAGAGCATGTTTCTATCCTGACCGATGCATGACAGTGGAAGTGTACAAAACCAAGCGTAATCGGAAAGGAATGTCCACACAGCGACATTGACCAAGGCTTCTCTTCTGTCTTCGGGGTATAAAAGGCGAAACACATACGAGTCGTAAATCTCAATTCAGACCTTTGGTGCCTGTCGCCACATCAGAACCAGCGAGACCGAGCTACTTTTTGAGAGGAAATGGCTTCTTATTACGTTGTAGACAATAGTGCCGAAATTGCAAATTCGGAGGCAATGGACGCTGCCCGAAGCTTCACAGTACACAATCCTTATGTTCCAAATGATGTAGAGGTCTACCACGCGAATGACTCAGCTATTCCAGACGGTCAAGGTGAACAGGTTTATGTTATGTCCGCGGACACGTCCCGGATGGACCCTGAAGTTGCACAGCTTGATCAAAGGGCTGAAAACTCCGCCAGTAAGTCTACGGGTGTCTTGGGGGTGTCATTGGGTAGTAGGCGTGTCATCGGGTAGTAGGGAACCCGTGCTACCCATAATTAGAGTGGGTATTTGGGTAGCAGCTTGCTCCTGGGAACCCGATAAGGTAGTTGAGGTATGGTATTTTTACAACCGTGCATGTAAAGTGCACGGCTATGTGCTTCCTGTACACTTTCTATGTAGCACAAGCGCACACTCACTGTAAAAACTATGTCAAACAGTACCCGATAGGGTACCCGTGCTACCCGGATAGAAATACCCGAACTCATTACCCGACCAAACCCTACCTGTTGCAACCCTAGTTATAATTATCCACCATACGATGCGTAAGGCGCAAGAAGATTCTTGAAGACAACATCTTCATTATTCATTCTGTTATTGTTTAGGCGGGCAAGTTCAAACTCTCTTATTGGATACTGGGACACCTTGGTTCGGAGATGTAACCCATAGCGCAAATAGTGATGTGCAAGCCCAAACCGTCATCAATCATGAGGCTACGAATGCTTACTCAAGTGGATCAAGTGGTGCAACTCCCTCTCAGCAGAAACGCTTCGCTAGTAACTCTGGATACTGATGCTGTGCATGAACGTGCCAGAAGAATATGTACGGTTCAAATTTTCTGCGTTTTTTCTCTCATTCCAGTGTGAGGATTTTGCTGATCTTTTCTTGATGGTGTTTTTTAGGCTCCTTTCCTAATAGTTTTAGTTAGTACTGGGCGGTCTGTCAACTGAATTGCCAACAACAGGCATGGACATTATAGTTAATACCATCTTAGTTCTTTCTTTGTTGTTATCTGGGTATGCACAGTTCACTTAATTTTACCATTCCTTCTCATTCTATTTTGGCTTGTGTACTCCATGTACATAGCACTGGTGCACAGAGAGCTGCCACACAATCAACAAGCTCATGATCCTAATCAAATCGTTCTGTCTCAGTGTAAAGAATCTATTGGATGGTTGATCTGGACCCACTCCTGTTACGAAGTGTGTGACACGGACAATAGTGACAGTCTAGCCGCTTGGGGTTCACTGGACATCAGGCCATGACAGCATATGTAGACAAACAGTGCATTGATCTGTGAATGTGCTTGTGGAGCAGGACAGTGTGTTTGGCTTCGAGCCACTTTCACGTGCAGTGCGTGTATCAGACATACTCAAATCACAAGCGAACAGGAATATTTCATGAATAGCTGGACATGGAAAGCCGTGTTGCTGGGGCAAATCTACAAAAGCGGCTGCTACTCCGTTCTCCTGGTGGTCTTACTAGCTTGATCTAACTTGACAGTTATAAGTAGCTTGCTCCTCAACCTCAACAAAGTAACAAACCCAGTTTCAAATGGCAACCTCAATAGAATACTCCTACAGCTCAGCTTTGTCTGAAACAACAGCATGCGCGGCGATGAATGCACTCCTGACCTGCAATAGCAATGGCTTCATGTCCGAAGATCTAGCCTTTAGAAAGGAACCAGTTTGGCACAACACCCTTTCAAAGAAGGTCTTCATCGTACGCTCCTCAGAGACTCGCATAGACACTGAAAACACACTCATCTCCAACTATGCTGCCAACTCCTATGGTAAAAGTCGTGCATTATTCTCTGTTGGCGTTCGGAAATGTACCAAGTTGGGATGTGTTCATATGACTTTTCAGGCAAACGTGCCATCGCTATTGTGATCGACGACGATGTACCCTCGTGTTGCGGGCTCGCATCAGGCTACGTCACACAAGACAGAAAATTCTCCGGACTGCGCCGTGCCAACTTCGACATCTACACGGTCACAGAGCGATACAAGACAACATGCTACCAGAGAATGAAGGCGGCTCGGTCAGTCGGCCAGTTTACGTGCTGTTAAAGAACGTGCTTCTGAGCAGCAGGGTATGACTCTCACATCATACACAGGATAATAGCATTGGTTCTGTGCTTTCTTTATAGTCCACATGCATGCATATGTGAAGCACTATTCCTCACTAGCGTGGATTCATGACCAGATGTTTGCATTGACAACTGCCATTCGTTCTTTTTTTCTGTTTGTACACGCACAATGCCTTTCCTTCACTTGCCTGATATGCTGTTTCGCCTTAGTGTGTGCATGCAAATTGACTGAAAACTCCCGTCTCAACTAATCTCCTCCATGACTAAAAAGATACAGGCGTGACTGCAAGTTTACTGCAGAGCTGTCCCTTGTCATCGAGATGCTGTCGGAGATAGATAGGATTGATTAGGGACTGCACTCTCCAAGGCTGCCCTACCGTGATCTGAGGGCTAGCATGGCAGAGCCTTCAGTCGCGCATCTGCCGCGTCCCTGTAGGCATTTCTGCGGTCGGGCAAAGTGCGTCCTACGTGTCAAATGCGCGAAAAGGCGAGCTACGCATGCAATAGGCATGCTGCAGGGCTAGTTCACGTACATCATAGCCTCGAGAGTTTTGCTGACTGCAGCTCACCAGCACGTTGTGCATCAGCTCTGGGGTTCACATTGGCTTTCGCTCGACACACTGCTCGAAGAAATTATCAATGCAATGCAAGAGCATGTGCATCGAGTGACCGAGATGAAATGAAGCTACCTACATGATCTAGACCAGCAAGAGCAAAGTACATCCAGTAAGCTCGTTTTAAAAAGGCGACTTCGAGGATGGCAACTGCGGTCGTGTACAAAAAGGTCGGCTCAGTATCAGTTAAGGAGGCCAGACAGGCGTTGACCGATCTCTTTGAGGATAATCCGTACTTAGAAAGAAGTCTTGGCATACACGCATTGTCTGTGAAGGCATACCCTCAGAAGGATAACCGTGTATTGAGAGTATTTGTTGTCACCGAGACCGATGTCAAACTTGACCAAGAAACAGCTCTGGTTGAAGACTTCCCTGAAAATTCCTCCGGTAAGCCTGATAGACTAGATAGCCAGCATTGCTTCTCGGGTATATGTCCACTGCCTCAAACATAGTCACAGCCAGTCATGTACTGTAAGTCACAGTTATGTATCCTAGCCCCGACTCCTACAAAAGACACACACACACGTCCACTGCCACTTCCACATGTCCATCGCTGAAACGATGATAACGAACAAGCCAAGTTAGCAACTTGTGCTGGGATTACACAAAACACACACATACACACACACACCACACACACACACACACTACTACTACTACTATGTACAGCTACCCTATCGGGCCACGCCGCTCCCAGAAGCGGGAGACAACGACAAGAAGAGAGAAGAGAAGAGAGAGAAATCGCAAAGTCAACAATATTTGGCATGGCGTTGCAAGTCCTGTGGCCTTGAGAACCGTCTTTCGCAATGCTCGCATTCATGACGGCAGTTGTTCCTGGCTGCACGTGACATCCGTTTCGCACGGTCACAGTGATGACGGCTCAAACCAGAACGAGAGCGGAAAGAGCGGCGACAAACATCACATCGCAAAGAGTCAGATTCATGGCGAATGGATACAGTGGGGACATCCGTGGACACAGGACAGCGATGCACAGCCAGTCCTCCAGCGCTCCTCAACCACCGCATGCACTTCATACATTGCCTGGCACCCTTCTGTTGTGACACAGGCAACTTCCGCTGGGCAATGCACTTGTGTCGGGCCATGTCGTTACGGCGGCGGAAGTCTCTGGCACACAGCAAGCAGCGCAAAGGTGGCGAATCATCTGTGTGCGGTGGTGGCTCAGCAAGGAACATCCTCCAGTTCTGCCGGTCTTGGGCATTCTGAAACCAGGAATCCACGCCAGCTGCCCTCATGTCTCTCTGGACAACGTCTTTCCAGCGCCGCCGGGGACCACAAGGAGGGCGACGACCACTCAACCTTCCAAACAAAATCTGGACGGGAGCACGGTCTGCAGGCATGCGCGCGACGTGCCCGAGCCATTCTAACCGCCGACGCCGAACAAGGTCTGACACCGGTGTAGTGTCACCCCAGCGCGCACGGAGCGTTGCCGATGAGATTTTCTCCTCCCATTGCTGACGCCGAGATACACATAAGATGGAGCGAATGCACCGGTGGTGAAAGTTAAAAAAAAAAAAAAAAACACACACACACACACACACACACACACACACACATACACACACACACACACACATATGCATGCGCTACCTGGCTTGGTGCATTTCTATTTCAAATGCACGACCCTTGCCTGTGCCTGGCCTGGTTTGTTTTGTAGCCTCCATAATAATGCTCTTCTTTGCTTCTGCACATACACACACACACGCACACGCACACACACACGCACGCACGCATACGCACACATACTCATACACACACACATACTCATGCACACACACACACTGCTCTTTTGATCACAGATGGAAAGGCACTAGCCATTGTGCTTCACAGCACCAGCCCCCGATTCGGGTTGGCTAGCGCGTCCGTTTGGAGAAAGAGGGGATCGCCACATCTCCGACGTCTCTTCAAAACTTTCAATGTGTTTTCTTTTAAAACAAGACACGATATTACTTCTCCTGCCACACGATATCAGCTTAGAGAGGCTGCCAAATTTGCTGGTTTGTACAGGCGGAGATGGCGCAGATAACCGAGCCACGCAAAGCTGGGTGCTCTGTTTTCCCTGTAACCTTTTGAAGCACGTAACACATCTGCATTTCCAACTGTGTGAAGATTACATATTCGGACATGGTTTTGTTCTCTTTGTCTTCCCAACAATGCAACAGCACTGGTATACACCTCAAGCTGGCATTTTCAGTTGAGCTATGATGCTTCTTGTACTAAAATCAATATCATCAATAGTCCTGCATGTGACTTTGAACGGGATGGCAGTGTCTGCTCTAGGATTGTAGGACAGCCGGGTACACGTGTACCTTGCGCAACCATTTCAACCGCGTCGGAGCCGGGTACACATGTATTCGACGCGCGCCTCTGCATGATCTGTCACACATACAAGCCATGTAGTCAGTCCTTTCAAAGTTCGAACGTGTAAAGTACCAACCGGGTCACCTGTGACCCGGTACTATATTTTCAATTGGGTCCAAGCGCTGCCCAACCGGGTCGATTACCCGGCTCACCCGGCTCTGGAGCAGACACTGGATCGTAATAACACCACTGGTCAGTATTGACATGCTTACACACCCTAATACCATTGGCTAGTGTGGCTACTTTACTGTGCGTGTAAACAAGTGATGGCACCCGAATATGCGTACCATAATTGCCCATTTCTGCTACACTCTTTCTGTCAACCTTGATCTCCTTGAGTCTGGCAACTAGAAAGAGTCCAACACAAAGACTGCAAGGCTGTCAAATAGCATTGAGGTGCTGACAGAGCATGATGGAATTGATAAGATGCACAGAAAGGTTGACACAGAGCACGCTGGCGACCCCTGCCAAATCATTGGCTGTGCAGAGTTACATCCCTGTCGGGGATTCCAGTGGTCAGACGACGGTTGCGCCATGCATGGCAATGTTCAAGTAGGCGAGCTGTGCGCTTGTTCAGCAGGACTGTGGGCTCCTTCACGCACGTCATACACAGAAGCCAGGCGAGCCATAGTCTAGATGGGTCAGCGGCATGTTGGCGTTAACTCGGGGATCTCATATGCAAACACGGCATGAACACCATTCAAAAGGCGCTTTAATCGGGTGAGAGCTTCAGCACTGGGCCAACAGGATCAAACAGACTTTGTTGGCACAATCACATCTGGTTTCATCGAACTAGACCACCATTAAACAAATTTCACTTGGCAGTATTGCGACTTTTCCAATGGCATCCGCCGTAGTGTACAAGAAAGTTGGATCGGTCTCAGATGTGGAGGCACGGCAGGTGTTGACTGACTTGTTTGCAGATAACGGATACTTACAAGATAGTTTGGCCATCTATGCCTGTTCTAGGAGCCCGTACTTTGACTACGATGACAACGTATTGAGAGTGTTCATAGTATCCGCCCTGGATGGACGAATTGATCTTGAAGCAGCTGGCGTCGAAGACTATCCCGAGTTTTCATTCGGTAAGTGCAGTCCAAAACCTCAGAAGAGACCCTGCACACATTCGCACATCCTGCTGAAACATGGCTATTTGTCATCACAGGCAGGTGTTTGATAATGTACAGTGTGTACGCTTTCTTGATAACCAGTCTTCCTGCATACATGCATATACATGTATATCGTTGGTCTTGGCTTACAGGTGGAGAGGCAGTGGCAATTGTGTTGCATAGTTTGAGTCCAATCTCTGGGGCGGCGAGCTACATCATCTGGCGGCGAAGAAAGTTTCAACAGCTACGACGGCTCTTCAAAGTATTCTCCTTTGGAGTGGATAGGGGAGACAGAGTTCAGCCTGCAACATCACGTCAACTTAAAAGCGCAGCCAGGCTTACTGGCCGATATTAGATATGATCTTAGAGCACATCCATGCACCATTTGACTTGGTCCCTGCACAGTAGGCCATCTTTCCACTGGTTTGTATACATGGAAGGAATTGTGATGGTGGTGACTGTGATATCTATCATTCTTCGATTTCCTCCAACATTTTCCTTATCCTGTTTTTTCTCTTCACGTATTTTACGTATCTGCCAGCTATAGCTTAGATAGACTTGCTCGTTTGGACTGCTGCAGTCAATTCAATTGTTCACTCAGATCCATTCGTTATCTTCATTCCGGATCTAGTAGTTTCTCACTACTAAGGCTCTGTAGTCAGACAAATCAATCCAACATGGTGCTCTCTTTGCATTTCGGTGCATGCGAGGGTGCTCGGAGAGCCCGGACACAAATGTTTGCAGTCGAGTGTATCTTCCATTTGGAAGTCGCGAATGTATTCCGAAACGTATCTCACCAGCAGGAATGAATCTATAAAAACTTGGTTGGAGTTGGCCAAGCACAACCAATTGAATCCATCTTCTAGCGCTGGGCACCAAGGTCATACAAAAATGTTGGTAGAGATTGACAGCCAGCGCACAAGATATATGGCACGGTCCTAGGCGGTCGAGAGTTGCCACATTAGGAACATACAGCGACGGAGCGAAGGGAACTTTGATATGATCTCTGCTGTCTTGGTATGCTGCCAGAATAGTGACAACTGAGAACAATAATCTATCAGAAGGTGAGCATGGTAGTCTATTAGGCTCGTGGCACACGCGTGGTGATTTGAAACCGGTTGACCTACAATGTTGAAACTGTGGGCATCCAAGCAAGAGAAGTGTCTTCGGGTACTTTCCCATCTCGGCTTCGCCCAGTACCGCTGACCCTATGGTATTCATTTGAGTCAATATATAATAAAGCATGGTCATACACGAACAATACAATAGTTGTCACACTCGGGGCTGACCCCGCAAACAAATTACCTATTTGCTTTACTTACGTAAGACGTCTTCTGACTCATCAAAACAATTTTAGAAGCACGGCACGATGCAATGAACTTGTCACGCAAGCACGGCATGATGTAATGAACTTCTCTCGCAAGCACGGCCTGATGCAATGAACTTCTCTCTCATGTAAGCTGAGGGCCTAAGTACTCGTATAAGAGCTCAGGAAGACGGAGCTCCATGAGAAGTCTTCCATGAGCAAGCGAAGTAGAAGAAAAGAGTAATTTGCATCCTTCAAAATTTCAACTATGGCCGACGCCGTTGTCTTCAAGTGCACAGCGTCAGTCCAACGCAAGGAGGGAAAAGAGGCATTGGAAGGAATTTTTCAAAATAATCGGTTCATGTTCTATAACCTTCCCGTAAGGCATGTCTCTGCACACAATCATAGTGGCAATGAGATGAAAGTCTTCGTCGTTTCCAGCAGCGAGTCCCGGATCGACCCCGATGCTTTTGGCGTTGAAAACTACCCAAGCACCTCGTTCGGTAAGTTGTCTCACTAAGTGCTAAGATACCTTTCTGTAAAGCACTGACATGGCCGCACAGATAAGAGCAGCCGATGTCAGTCTTAGTCACATGTCCGTCAACTCACATGTTGTGGGTATTGAAGCTGATGTAGAGAACCATGCCAACAAGTGTCAACAGTATGTCTATTTGCTGTATTGGCTAGACCATCCTGAGCTGGACGGATCAACTCCGAAGGATGTACTACGCACATGTTGTCTGGTGATTGGTTGACGAGCCATGAAACTACAACTTACAACACATAACACCTTCATTTCCTATGTGTATATGGCATACTGCGCTCTGTTCCCCAATATGTACTCAGCACTCTAAGGATAGGTTGCAATGCCTCTGCACCACACACCTGTATGATACTGATGTACTAGACTTTGTTGGCTGCCTATGTCTTGCAGGTGCAAATGCCATCGCTCTGATCCTGCATGACCACACGCCGAGAGCTGACCTGGTAAGCTACGATGTCCAGCAAAGCGGAAAAAAGTATGCCCAACTTCGCGTAGACGGGTTCACGCTAATGTCGCTAAGGGATAGTGCATCGCAGCCAAACGACAACCAACTGAAAACAGCTGCACGCTTAGTAGGTCTGTACCGGGCCCCGCCAAGGAGACCGTGGTAACATTCCCGCATGATCAAACTCAGTGCCTGAAGTTCACGTAGGCCAATCCTCCAACTGTTGGACACTAGTATGCATACTTGTCCGCATATCAACGCAACCCATTTCTTATATTCACTATTTTCACTTCACTTTCTAAAGTTCTATTCCCAGGAGTTTCGATTATTTCACGAATTCGATGACATGTTGCTTTATATGTCTTGAGCTGTTGTTCTTCAATTTGGCCGCAGTACTTATTATACTACTTATCAGTACGGTCATGTTCTGTGTGCATAACAATTTATGAGTACCAGTTGTGCATATCAATTTCATGCAATGGGTTTTGAGAAATTGAAGCTATTCCTAAATTACGTGAGTGTTGAATGGTGAGGTTTGGCTTGCAAATGAGTGTCGAAGAAAGATGATGCGCACAAGAGGTTGAATGATTGGAATATCTCCTGCATGAATATAGCAGTGTTTCAAGATGCACTCACCTAGCCCGAACGACAACAGACGCGCAAATCCTCAAGCATGTCAGCTTGATGCAGCAATCGTAGCAGCTGCTGCTACCGCTCTCATTCACCTGTATCAATGCACATTGCAACACACAGAGAAACAGGCAGGGTTATGTGTGGCACTGCTAAAAAGCTCATATCTGCTTATAGGCAAGCATTACAGAGAATTGGCACGCGAGTGTACACCGTAAAGTGAAACGATTAATCTGCCAACTTCCAGCCTGTCTAGATTCAGAGTAGCAGAGTGCCCAGACCAGCACAAAACGTGCAACGTCTTGGTCCTGTAGTTCTACTGAAAATGCCATCACGTAGCGGATAGGCAGCTCACCGTGGATAGCCGGCCAACACTGAGACTGCATGGCCATACGAAGGGTGTGAAACCGTGGGCACTGGGCGGCTGTCACCTGACATCGGAGATAGGAGCTGCACTTAGACATGCGTGCCTCGGGCTATGCGATGTCACCTTCTGCAGCGAAACGAATAGTGGAGAACAGCAGCAACGCACAACACACTTGAAGCCTGATCATTACATTGAAACGTGGCACGCAGAGTGATGACTTAGGGGAGTGCCGGGAAAATCTTATCCTACCACTCTGCCATCGCCCCATAAGGTGGTTTTCAACAACGTCACCAACTGTCACATCTTCATTGTGCCATGTTCCAGCGCTTCGCAAGCAGCTAACCACTCAAGCTCTCTACCGCCAGTGACAAACATCAGCAGCGGGATGGCATCGCGCATGTGGTCTCGGCACACCGGAGCGTATAAATGAGGCGAAGGAAGTTAGTAAGTATTATAATTCTAGAGACTATCTATCGCTAACTGTGAGTGTGAACGCTTTGTTTGGTATTGACCATGGCATCCATTATCCAATATGGCCATTCTGCTAATATACATGAACGCTCTGCAAAATCGGCCGTGGAGAGCTATGTTAGTACCAGCCATATGACCGACAGCGGTAAATTGCTCAGTGTCGTGAAAACACCACCTGTTCACAGTAGGAATATAGCGAGGGCATATGTCGTGCCAAGCAGCTCTAGCAGAAATGATATTGAAACAAACCTGAGTGCACTTCAATCGAAGCCAAATTCTTTCGGTAAGGGACACAGTTTTGGTGTGGATTTAGGAATGTTTCTGCCCTCCTGAATTCTGTATGTGCGCACACTGTGGAGCTAGGATAAGACACTCGACTAAAGTGTCGCAATCTCTGGTGTGAGGGCTGTAGTGAAAGGCGTACATCCAAAAATTATACAGGAAGTCATTACTCGTAGTCTTCTGGGTGCTGTTATACGTTGTTGCCTCCCAGGAAACTATGATCCTCCACGTGTCTGTAAAGCTTTTTCAAGGTTGTACCAATGGTCACTTTTTCGGTCACGTGCGAGAAATATTTGAATCGCTGGTGAACAGGCGAAGTCCAGTTCACGTTCACTTTGTACGCGAGTGGATGTGTGGAGGTGGAAGAAGCAGTAGGATGGCGCTCCACTTGATGTCCGACACTCGTGTTGAGTCAGAGCAGTTGCCAGGAAGCCCTTCCATGGCTTGGGCGAAAAAGGACAAGCTTCAGAATCGCTCCAAGGGCTGGTGGAGGCGAACCTGTCACATTTGGTATACTTTTCCATGCATTTTGACATGCGACCTGTTCACCACGATCTCGGGGTGATCGCCGGGGCGGTGGCGGGAACCGCGTCCTTGAAAAAGCTCTATATTGTCAACTGAATATGCGCATACCCAACAGAAAAGGGAGTGCGGGGTCAACGGGATGGTATCTCAGGGGTGTAGCTCGCACATCTGTAGTGTGGTGACCATGTACCAGAGCACTTATGTGGGGTGGTGACCATGTACCAGAGCACTTATGTGGGGTGGTGATCATGTACCAGGGCACTTATGTGGGGTGGTGACCATGTGCCAACGGCAACCTTAAACTTGCTATTTCGCCTAATTTGACTATTGTTGTACCTATGATGGCCATTCGCCGGTGTGGTGACCGGACCACGTCGACTATACACGAGCTACACGCCTATGACTTGCATGGAAGGTTTTGCTGGAAGCATCACTTTGCTCTTGTAGAAATACTGACGGATGATGAAACGTCCGTCAGGTTAGTGATGAGGAAAGGTTTTACAACACAACGTCAAACACCATTGACCAACTAAAAGCTACGATCTGCAGCTTCCTTGAATTAACATGATTCGACTCTGCGCCGAAAAGACCAAAACTTGTGAAGATTTGATTAAAGGGCTGCACGTCCCGCATCATGAAGAATTCTACTAAATGGGCAGGATGAGAGAATACCTTCTAAAGGCAAGCGCTACTCTTTATACGTCTCTGACTTTCCTTTCTCCCATCAACTTCTTTGTGATTCTGTCTTGTTTAGGCAAACCCATGCTGATTGTTGCACCGGACTCGAGCAATGCCTCCGGACGCGCTTCAACAAACGCGTCGACCTACAGCGGTGCCGGCTACCTTGTGTTTTCAGATCCGCACTGTTCACACCAGCAGAAGAAATTCGCTGCGAATGTCGGGCACATGCTTCCACCAAAAAGCCCATGCTGTAGGATATTATAGGTGTACACAATGTCATAGTGATGCGAGCGCGGCAGTGTTGGCCCCTGGCTTCAGGGGAGCTTCCCCTCATGGCCCAATTATTAACGAGAACGGACACATGTATTCTCAAGTCCGTTTTATCCGTAGCATTCTATTACAGCATGCCTTGACACATGACCCAAAATGCAGAATTTTGTCCATTTTCAAAATTATAATGTAACTATGTCAGAATGTCTCCTTTCATCTCCCCAGCATGATAATATATAGACGACTTTGGTGTGTATTGCGGACACCCGTATTGAACGCAGTACATGCGCGAGATGTACATCTTGATGTGAGTTTATGCCATTCTTGAACGGTTTTGACATTCTTGCACACGCCATTAGGCTGTGTCCACCAAGTGTATGTCTTGATGACACACCATTGGTGATTTAAACATTCGTATTTTGCCTCGTTTCTGTTCATTAGCGAGTCATTGTGAACCGAGCTCTGAGTGCTATTTAGCTGGTGATCAATGTTAGACACAAACCAATTCCAGTGGTGGATGCATGTGTTACGAACACCCGGCATGGAATAGGCGCGTACCTGCTAACATAGCTCTCTTCACAGACCTGACAATCCGGGTGATTTCCCCATCACCGTCACCAATTGGCCACAACTCAGAGGACAAGTAACATGCCTTATTTGTGAAGGGATGTAACGCTGACAGCAATACTTGCAAATTTCCGTGCTTTCCTGAGTATAAGCCGCACTTTCAACACTCAAAATTCACCCAAAAGAATGGTGATGCGGCTTACATGTATTCGACGGTGATCAAATCAACGGTGATTAATAGAGTACATGTCTGTATTTGTGGCAAAAAAATGTGGGGTGCGGCTTACACTCCAGTGTGGCTTATGTACGCCGGAAAATACGGAACTGTACTCTGCTCGTTGGCAGACTTCCACTTCACATTCAAATGATACAGTGAACTGAATCATGAATGCGCAGTGGCCAGTCAACGAGCATGTGTACTGACCATTTCTCTCTGAATAAGAGGGAGTGCTGATCAGTGAACACAGCCAATGTACGGTCTTTAGACACGTCACATGAACGGAGAGAGTCCAATAGCTGCCTCTATGCAGTACCTGCGGCAACCATTCAACTGTCCTATTTGACGCATGAACAGAAAGGGGGAAAAGAGTGGTTTACCCCAGCTGGGCTGCTCCAACAATACCTGCTTTCTATCCGGCAGAAGTCTGGCACGGGTAATACGATCGCCAATGCTGTCGGTAAAAAGTGACTCACGTACCATCTGCCCACCTGTCTACCGTACAACTATGTATAACTATTTACTCTCTAGGCTTTTCAGCGCGGGCAAAGTAAGCATGGGGCATACGACATGCTGGCTTGGGCTAATCTGGCAATCGCCATGAAGTCAGAGCATGATCAGCACAATGACAGTGTGACTATCTGGCTCGGTTGCCATTCCTTACCTGTCATTGTCGTCAGATAGGGTGCTGCTAGACATGTTTGCCCCAGGGCTCAGACTATCACTGCATTCCACGCCAAAAGAACACCAGCGAAGGACGGCGAACATGGCTTGAGGAGTTGCAGAATGCCAGACCGGTGGCCTGAAAGCAGCAGGAAAACGAGAGCATGAACACATTAAGACTCGAGTGGTAAAAACACCGATTTTCAAGTTGCGTTACGTCATGCACTATTTTCACAGCCGTCGTCACCGGACATATTTTTTGGTGCTGTGGCCCATCCCTTGGGCAGCAACGAAGGGACAGCACCGACTTTCCGCAACCACTTCACTACACCACGGGTATAAAAGGAAACAAAGAAGCTAGAAAATCACATCCTATAGGGCAAGTATCTGCAAATACTGACCGTGAACATTGCGTTTGAATTTTCACCATGGCATCCGAGATCCAATATGCTCATGATTCCAATCTGTCATGGCGCGAGGCCCGTCAGGCTTTGGAGAAGTACGCGAATCATACAAAGAACACACAAATGAGCAAAACACTAAGTATCAAGAAGGCAGAAGGCTCTGGAGGTAGATCGAGTACTACAGCATTGACAGCCATAGCGTACGTGGCACCTATCAGCCGCGGCCGCAATGACATCGAAACAAGCGCTAAGTCCATGAAGACTGATCACAGCAAACATTACGGTAAGGACTACATGCTGCAAATCCAGGGTGAATCCAAGAAGGGGAGTCAGGAATAATATAACAATTATTTCAAGTGTGTACCCGTATCTAAGCATGTCCTTGTTGAATTTTCAGTAGGGGCGCAGTCAAGGGAGCAATGCACCTATTTCAGTTTCTTTCCTCCTTCTCGGCCATGGCTGTTTTTCACTCCGTCCCCTTTGAAGTTACGAACCCCGTGCAATGGAATTAGCTCCAACTGCATACATTGCCCATTACTCCCTCGACTCAAAACTCTCAAACATGGTCTCTCTGCTGAATACGTTAGTGAAGTTGAAAATTTCAAGTAATATATGCTGCAGCGAAACCATGTTTTAGTGTTGGAGTTGAGGTACGCTTAATGGGCAAATGGCTGCAGTGGAGTCTGCATGTGAGTACTTAGAAAGGTGTACGTACATTGCCACCGGCTTTGTCCGTCATCTATACAACGCACACTAGCTCTAGTGTGTCATGCATGTACTAGTTACGCCAATGCGATTGCTTCTTGTTGACATGGATTCACACTCATTACAGTTCTACCGATCATTAGTAGCCATGAGTGATGGCAGTGTAATGCAGTCCCTCAGACTCAACTGTGGCCTCAGTTCCTTTGAATCGCTGCCTGTTGTCTTATTTATTTATTTATATATGTAGGACTCAGTATAGAGTCCATGCACTATATGATGTCCAGCACCCTATATAGAGTCCATTGGTCCAAAATCCACTATACCGCAGAGTCCAGGAGTCCACTCAGTTTTGAACAGCTTCATCCTGCCGCGCAATCCCCTATAAGGAGTACACTTTTTCTACAAGTCCCCTATTCACAGTCCAGAAGTCCAGTTTATCCAGTCACGCCGTCCTGTGTGTTGTGCCCGAAAGAGAACAAACACATTTTCAGTTTTGCTTGCCTCGTGGCAGCGCATTCCTTTCTTCACTTCAGCCATGGCTGCCAGTTCTGCTGTGCAGTTGCTGACAGTAATCTGTCTCGAGGTAACCAAGGAGGATAAGGAGACGTTCAAAATCAAATCTGGAAAGCGTCTTGTGGTTCTCTGAAGACGTTTCATCAGTGCGCGGGATGAAAGCAGAAATTGGAGAACGAGAAAAGTCATTCAAATCTGACGAGTCAGGTACACTGACGCTCTCTTTCGTTCGACGCCACAAGGATCCCCTGTTTGGCTGGCCATTGCTGCCAGTAAGACGTTTGAACGGTTTCATCAGAGCGAGGGATGAAAGCAGAAAGCGGAGAAAGAGAAAAGTTCAGCACAGTTCCAATCTGACGAGTCAGATACACTGACACTCTCTTTCGTTCGACGCCACAAGGATACCCCTGTTTGACTGGACAAGAGCTGGCTGTACCACCGTGTCAAAAGGCTGTCCAACTACATGGCAGGACGACGACTGAGGTAAGGAAGCTTTTACTCGTTTCGATTGGTCTGCTGTTCTGTCGTTATGCTTGAATTTTTTTCCATTTTCAAGGAGCGTATCGCGTTTGTTTGATGTTGCTTGAATGAATGCCCTAAAAGTAATCAACCACTTCGTAATAGTCCTCAAGGACTGCAAGGACTTTGCATCAATCGTATGATGATCGTCTAGCTATCATCAATTATTATTTTATTTCATGAGAAATGTATTTTTATCCCTGTGATAATTATGTGAACTCTACGACACTCTTCCTGTAGTATGATGTCAAATAGAATGGGATCGACAAACGCAGTGCCAGTGTACTAGTAGTAGTAGGACTAGAGGATTGCTTGTATGCCAATGACAAGAAAAAGCTTCTCAAGCTAATACTCGTATTCCCTGAAGTAACCGTTTTGATGTCACGAACATGACATTGTGTCAGTGAAACTGCCTCGTGACAACAAATCATTGCATTTCCATCTTGGGGAAGACTGACTGACAGCAACGATGTACAGATTGTTCAAATCATCTCATTTCAATTTAGTTGCAGTGAAGTGAAACACTGTGCACACTACATGTATGTTGGTGTGTCTGTGCGTCTTGAGTGTGCACAAACGATCTTATTCCTCGTATTACTAATAGATTATTGTCCCCACCGTCACCTGTTCACAGGTCTTTGAGTGGATTGATTTTCATTGAGCATCACATTCGTTGAGAACTTGGTAGTTGTGTGCTCCCATGCATCATTACGGTAACAAGCGTATCCTTGTGCTATCTATTTGTTGCAGGTGTGCTGATCTTCAGAAGCTTGCGGAACTGAGTGCTGCTGAACATTTGCATGGCCACGAGCAATGGTGAAGCTTGCTATTGCACTCTCAGCATGTGCTAGTATTATGCTGACCACTGCACTATGTTACTCTCTTACACTACTACGTGCTTGTTAACGTGCGTGTACCCGTCCCCGTATGCATTCGTTCCGTATAATTATTTGTTATCCCTCTTGACTTTACATGTAAATGGGTGGACGTTTGCATGGCTGTTGGAGTTGCGTGTGTATTGTGTCTCTACTCTTTTCTTGGTGTTTTCTTGGCGTTGTATAAGTTTGCGTGTGTGTGTGTGTGTGCGCACGCGCGCGCGCGCGCACAATAACTTGAAAACAAATAATTAATCCTGGGCTCTCCATTATTCTCTTTCGATTCTTGGTTTTTTTCTAGGTATTTTCTTGGCGTTGTGTGGGTGTGTGCATGTGTGTGTGCGTGCACAATAATTTGGCAACACTACATGATTGAGATATTGTAATTTGCAGCGTCTGCGAAGAGACCACTTGATTTGAGGATGGTGTTTGTAGGGTTTTCATGTAATGAAGTGGCTGCAGTGGCGCCTCAAAACATATTTTTTTTATCTTGAGAAGTGAATGATGTAAAGGATTAAAGGGAGAGGCAGTTTTCTGGTTAATATTCACTGCTTACAGCAGATCCTATGTCTAATTTTGAACTCGATAGGGGATGCCTAATTGGCTGGACTTTATACAGGGAGTGTTGTCCATATAAAGACTCTTTATAGTTGATTTCAAAGTTTGGACTCCGTACAGTTGATTTTGGACCAATGGACTCTATATAGGGGTGAAGCCAATTGGCTGGACTCCATACAGGGAGTGATGTCCATCAAAACTTTGAGCTCACAGTTGATTCCAAGTTTGGACTCTGTACAGTGGATTTTGGACCAATGGACTCTATATAGGGGTTGGACATCATATAGGGGCTGGACGCTCTACTGAGTCCAACATATAGTTTGACTAGTTTGAGGGAAAGACACAAACGGGAAAGTCTGAAGAAAACATTGACTGTTACCACCAGGACTCGAACCAGGGACCCTCGCTTGTAGCTAGCGATGCTCTAACCACTGAGCTATGGATATGACTTTTGGCCTGACGGAGTGACACATCGAGAATGGCGATTCAAGGCTGACAGAATAAGTACAGCTGACAACACAACCGTCGATCAGTCTGCACAATAATGAACCTCAACCCCCCGATACTTCCTCACTGTTCCCCAAACATTGCTATTAACAGCACACTTAATCCATTAGCTCAGCCTTTTTACCCACATTCGCAGCCAACCTCAGGATCACAGCCTATCATGTACATCAATGCCAGGTCCATTAAGAACAAGACTGCCGAGCTGGCTCACATTTGTTCCACAGTTAAACCCCTCATTGTTTCCATAACGGAAACATGGCTTTCTCCACAGTCGTCTTTCACGGTCCCTGGATATGACAGTTTTCGCCGAGATCGTCCGCCAGATGAAAATAGGTCAGCTGCCGATGCCACCCATGCATATGGCGGCGTCTGTATCATGGTACGGTCTGGGACGTTTCCAAAGGTCACCCATCGATCTGACCTCAGTATCCCTCTCCTGGAAGCCATATGGGTGGAAAGAGCCCTGTCAGCTGCTAACAAACATTTCCCAGAGGCGTCTCATGTGAAGATGTTGGTTATTGGTGCAGCATATCGACCCCCAGCCCTTACTCCATCAAGTATCAACACCTTCTGCAATTCCCTCCAGCAATGTCTAAGTACTCTTAAGAACCGAACAACATCTATCCTGTTGATGGGAGACTTTAATGCTAAGTCATGTCATTGGCATGGAACTACCACGGATGCCGCTGGCCGCCAGCTTCACAGTCTTTTCGGCATGTTCTCTCTCACGCAGTTCGTAAATTTTCCAACACATGAGTCATTGTCTGGCACGGGGGCAGCTCTCGACCTAATTGTCTCTGATATACCGGACTCTATATCCTGCCTCCGTGCTACAGCACCACTTGGTCAATCCGATCATTCTATCGTTGTTGGCCACATCCGGACTGTACCCTGCCCAGAAATGCCCACATCTTGTTCTCGTGATGCTCGTTCGACTCCCCTGGATTTCCCTGATTTTAGTGTCTTTTCTTTGGATTCTCTAGACAGCAACACTGTCGCGAGTATGAATAATGCCATGTTCCACATACATTGGCCAGCAGCTTTGAGCCTGGAGAGGCGCGATCCTGACATATTTGTGGACAACTTTTACTCTATCTTCCATAGCATCTGTGCAAGATTTCTGCCCAGGCGGAAGCCGCCGGCTGTCAAGCGTATCTATATGAACCCCCCCCCCCCTGGCTGACCAGTACCCTCCGACATCAGATAAAGAAAAAACGAGATTCGTGTAGTGTTTACCGAAAGTTTCCCTCAGCTGACAACTTCGCTATTTACAGACGAGAGCGAAACATTACTCGAAATATGTCTCGAACTGCCCATGGACTGTACATCTCATCCCTAAGTGCATCCACGGCAAGACCCGCATCACCAAGTTTATTCCAGTTTGTCCGGAAGCTTCGATCTCCCCAAGGCAACAGCAGGACGACTGGAACTCAGCTCTCAGTCGCTGGTACTCTATATTCTGACCCTGTGGATGTGGCAGATGCTTTGAACGAACAGTTTATTGGTTTTGGAACACAAGATGATCCTTCATGGAATGTGCCAGACTTCAAGCCACCCAACGCTCCATCACGTGGAAGAACCACACCTACGTTGCAAGATGTCACCA